AATAATCCTATCTTTAAGCGAACCAACCAGGAACCGATTGTGAAACAAATAGGCAGGAAGAAATGGAGATGGATTGGACATACTCTGAGGAAACCATCAAGTGACATCACTAGACAAGCCATTGCTCGAGTGGAACCCGAAAGGGAAGCGGCGAGTTGGTCGTCAGTGCTAGGGTGGGTGACTTGGAGGAGGTCATGTGAAGAGGAGATGAAAACGTGTGGCAGACTTGGAGCCAGGTGAAGACTCTAGCAGAGAACCGAACGCAATGGGGACGCATGGCTGAAGCCCTATGTTCCTCTAGGAATTAAAGGAAACAATACTAATAATAAGTGATGTTAACAGACTGAATATATTCTATTTGATTTCAGAGTCCACCATACAATTACATTTCTTTGTAATGCGTTAAATATATCGATTTTAATCTTTGTTCACAATTAAGTAAAATGATTGTGTAACTTATCAAAAAGATGTACATTAATCATTGTGACGACGTGAAGGTAAGAAAACCTATTAATAAAATGTCACCTTTTTATATGAATATTCTGCTAAAGTACAAATTATTATGAATCGTTGTCTTCAAATATCTATAAATTGCCTCAATAGAATACTGTGTTGTGCAAACATAACGGGCAAACGTCTGTGCATACTCCGTGTAACACAATGTTAAAATTTACTAGTGGTATTATGTTTTCTTAATAAACTTTGCTAAATGACAACAGTAAGTGAGTATGAACAAGATAGAAAATTCACATTAAAGTGGACTTTAATGTCACTAATATGGCGCTAATTGAAGTTCCCACATTTCAAAAATGTAATACCAGAGGCATTTAAATGTCTCCTGATTTCTAATAGTTTTTTAAATACAGCTCTGAAACCATTTTTATTTTATATATTCCTTTCCTACGCACAAAACGTTTTCTGAAATTTTGTTCGGTTTAAATGGTAAAACTTAGAAATTCTCATTCTGTAGTATAATTTTATAACCCCATAATAAAACTGAATGTATGACATCAATGAATCCAAAGAAGTGAGTTTACGCTTCAACAGAAATGCCGCATAATACACCATTGAAGTAGTTATGGGAGTTTGCATATCTGTTACAAATAAAAAGATTGGATGGCTGCAATGGCTTCCAAATGATAAAAAACTTGTATAAATGATCCTCTTCTACAGTTCTACAGTCGTTGTCTGACAAGTTTTGCGTGAGATTCACTCAACTGAGTTTTTCTTGAATCATAGAAGCAGCCTGAGTCTCTGCTTTTTGTAGGTGCACTTTGTTGTTGGATGGTAGCAACCCAGAAACTTAGTTTATTTAGTTCCTGTCCTCAATGGACTCATGACAGTTAGAGTAATTTTTAGTTCAAAATGCAACTAAGCTATATTATACAAATGGATACTGAACTTTGGTTCGACATACCAAAATAGCACAAAAGTATAGTGGGAAAGGAAGAAGGATTAAGAAACATACAGAAGTGTTATAAATTATTCCGAATTTTAAAATCCGAGTAATTTTGCTGAAGAAACTGTGTCTTACGCAGCGAAATGTTCAGAAAAAAATCTTGTTTTAATTTTTTCTTAAACACGCTGGGACCATTTTAAGTAATTTATAATGATTCAGTCTGACTCGATGCTCAAATTATTCCGAGGTGTTATTGAGAAATACTAATGACAGAACGCTTGCATAAGTACACTGTGGGAGTTGACGACCATTTTTAAATAAACGAAACACTGCAAACCAACAACTGAATATCATTACATCTAATGTCAAGTACCTTGGACTGAGTATTTCCTCCGATCTTTCCTGGTCCTCTCACATCTTGCTAGTTACTAGAAAGATGTTTCGCTTAACGTTCTACGTTAGGAAGTTTAGGCAGTCTGGTATAAAGCAGTCTTTGCTTTCTCAGTTTGTCAATTCTTGTATTCTACCCATCCATCTTTACTGCTCCCCATTAATCTTTCCTGGACTACTTAAGAAAGATTTTGCTTCGCTGCGTAGGGCACTAAAAGCTGTTAGTAGGGGAAGTGGGATTTCGTTAAACCAACTGGTTAACACCATTGTGGATAGACATATAATGTCATGTAAGAAACTAGCGAATGCTATATTGTCAGACCCCGAGCATCCTCTCTATACGCAGCTCTCTCCTTGCATTTCATCTGGTAGAACTAGAAGCAACTATAGGAGGCTATATGCTAGGACTACCAAGTACAAAAACTCCACAATACCTTATCTGGCACAGCTGTTATGTGATGAGAAATCCGTTAGGTATGACACGATCAACTTACTGCGGCACTCTAACAAATAGTTCCCATTAGCTTTTGTTCTCCTTTCTTTGTTACTATTATATTGTTGCTGACATATTCTATTACACACTAATTTTATATTTCATATCCTGTGGTGCATTGTTTAAAATGTGAATGCAATGCTGTTCTTTTTTTATTTCTTTTATTTTTCTTTTTTCTTTTTGTTGTTGTTGCTTTTTATTTTTAAAATCTTATAAAACTTATGAGGTAATTAGATGCAATATTGTAATGCACGTTGAAAATTCCATACCTGTACCACAAATACTGTTTGGAATAAAGCTATTATTATTATTATTATTCTGATACTCACTAGCCCTATTCAGGTAGGTAGTCACCTGTGTTCTAGTGGGAATTCGTGACCAGTGGGGTACAGCATGTCATGTGTGAGAACAAATACTCACCGATGAAATTCGCTAGTGTCAGTCGCTCCACATCGTGAATTGGCAGGAGTTAGAATTCATGGACTAGCTATTCGATGAGGTTTCAAGTGGCTTATTGGTTTATGAGAAAGCCATGCAACTGGAAAGTCCTGGGTTCGAACGTCAGTGGGTGCGTGCTGCTGAAGGGTCAGAAACCAAGCTGACGAAACATCTGTTCAGTACTCCCAGGATTTTCAATGGTTCTCTAGCCGATGTCAGCTCATGATGAAATCCTGTAACCAATCAATCAAAACCCTGGTAAGCAACATTTGAAAATGAAACAGTATTGTTTCCTCAGTCCTGCCTTTTTGTAGGCTTCCTTTTTTTCGGCCATATATAGATAAAAGGAACATCTAAAATTATTTCAAAGACTGTTTCATGATTTTCAATAAACTGAATTTTTTGTATTACATTCATTGCGTTGTTAAGCATACCAACTGTTGCTTCTTTTTTTCAGTATTTCACTTTTGTCCTTAATGATACTACAGATTTCATATTCTGCTTGTTTCTCCATTGAATAGCCATTAACTTTACACTGTAGAATCTAAATGATTTATGCATGAATGATGTTGTATATTATTTTACTTAGGTAATATGTAATCTAACAGATACTTTTCACTGATTCTAAAACCAACATACTTTCAGTATGAATGTTAATTCAGTCGATCTAAAAACAGAACAAAAATAATCAGTCTGCCTACGTTGGATAACCAGTTTATTTTTTAAGCTAAGTGCTTTATTTAGCTAATGCTTTTCTTGTAGCATTTTTTAACTACGTGAAATTCATGTTAATACCAAGAATCATGACAACTGCTATCTAGTTTTTTATATTGAATATATACAATTCGACTTTCATCACCACAGAAAAAAAGGTAATTCGTATTAATTAAAGTCGAAAAGCGTGAAGAGTTTATCGCCTACCCAGTGTGATGTGTTAAAAACCTTAGTGTTGATACTGGCTGAATTCTACCAGCCATTTTTGCACGTTAAAATGGTCCATGTACCGAAAGTGAACATTTACAGGTCAGTACACTAACTTCGGCAGCTGAGTACCTCTAGGCAGGAAACGAAATCTTATCCATTCGGAAAATCTGCTCTGTAGATACGGTTGACACAGAATTAGAAAACCTTCGCACGACTCTCTTAAATAATGGATATCCTAGAAGGAGAATCGACGGAAACATGAAGTAGGAAATCGTCCCCAGCCGAATCACAGTATCCAAGAAGACACTGATTATGAGTTTGGCGTTCAAAGGAGACACGTTTTTGAAGTAATTTAAAGTCGTTTATCTAAGTGTATAAACGGTGTTTTTACGCAGCTGACTTACATTTAGTATTAACCAGCCGAAATATGATTCGACAATGAGCAAAGCATAAACTACCGCTTATGTCCACCTTTAGTTCGTATACTCACTCACATGCTTGTATGGAGCTGATTACATTGGATGTTGTAAGCGTGTTCTCCGTAAACGCATAGCTGTGAACACTACCCAGTTTGGTTAATGAAAGGTGAGCAAAGCACGAGAAAGTCTCCAATCTGTGAACAACTGGAGATAGGTCATTCAGCCCCACGTGATTTATCCAGTAAAATTATCTACAGGACCAAATCCAACCACTCCAAAAGCTTACGTTTTCTCCACTTATGCATTGCCGAAGCTGTAGTTATACATCGAAAGAAACCTAAATCATATGTTCAAAAACGCTTTATTAAACCCCCTTTCTTTAACCTGGTCATAGTTATGTCCTTTTATTTCATTATACCATTACCACTTGAATTCACTCCACTTTATCTTCGCCGTCTTTACTGTTATCATCATCGTACTGTTAATTTTTTAGACAACACTTGACCTACTATTTTAAAATCTTAGCGCCAATTCACTTATTTAATAATCTGTGAAAGTTTTGTAATTCATCCACTTCGACTGTATCCCCTCAGTACATCATTTTAATTATTTTTATTCTTATTATAAGTATTGTTAATAGGCTAGGCGACTCAAAAGCACGATACTCTTTGAAATGCTGTTGAGTGTTTGGTGGTAATCAGAAGGATGTTCTATCAGTTGAAGAAGAAAAACTAAATATTAAATGTAATCTCAGAGTAAAAATAATAAGTTTTAATTAGATGCTGAAATTGAGCCGAAAGTTTACCTTCTGCTACTCAAAATAGACTATCTTTTTTAACGGTTGCATTTTTCTAGTGGAATTAATATCAACAAAGTTAACTGAGGTAGTTTAAACATTAACACATAAATGTATATATATATGTATATTTATACGTACTTTGGCCTTTAAGGAACACAGTGCTTCCTTCCATGACTTCTTCTTCGACTTTTTCATAGGAATCTCTATTTTTCCGGTAGCCATCTAGATAAGTTAAGGAAAGAAAAAAAATAATTGCAATGTGGCACATGAAGTTAAATTGATATAATAAACAAATTAACTAAATGCATTAAAATAAATATAAAAGTTAAATTTTTAAGAGTATACATCAGTAGGCTAATGTGAAGAAATTTACTACACTGTGTACACATTTGTTATTCGAGTATTCGGTTGTAGGGATTCGATGGATTGGTTACAGGATATCATCATGAGCTAACATCGGTTAGAGAAGCACTGAAAATCGTTTGACTACTGGTTTTCTAACGATGTCAGTTATGATGATATCCTTTAACCAATCAATGAAATCCCTACAAACTGACACTTGAATATCAATCTGACGCTCACTAACAAGTAGCCCTATTCAGGAAGGTAGTTATCTGGGGTTCTGGTGGGAATTCGTGACCAGTAGGATACAACAGTTAGGGTGTAAGGAAAAATACTGGCCGATGACGTTCGTTAGTGGCCGCGCCTTATCATGAATTGGCAGAAGTTAGGATTCATGTAGTGGCGATTGGATGGGGTCCCATCGGCTTAATGGTCTACGAGCTCGCCTTGTAACCAGAAGGCACTGGGTCCAAACCTGTGTGGTGTGTGCGTACTACCAAAGGGCCGGAAACCAGGCTGACGAAACATCTGTCCAGTACTCTAAGGTTTTCCAGTGACTCTCTAATCGACGTCAGCTCATGATGAAATGCTCTACACATTTGTTATTAGGTATAAATTTTGAGAACTATTTGAAAGTTTTATCTGTGTGGAACACTAATGTTACTTTCCATTTATGTCATATATGTTTTAAATGACTAAAAAACATATTTTTTCAAGCCTAAAAGCATTTTGCTTTGGAAAAAGTATCCATGATGACATCTGCAATCATGTTATTTTTGGTATTTACATGTAAGTTGACCAAATAAAAATTAAACCTCATAAATTTTTTAAAAACTTAGAAAAATTATCTTTCACCATCTTGCCGACAGTTTTTGTTAGATAAAGTATTTTAAAGTATGACGCTAAACTTGCTTTACTTAGTTCTACTTTCATTCTGTCTTTTAATACAGTCTCCTAAATTGTTGGGATTTTTGTGCAAATAAATTGATATGCTTATGAGTAGTAAATTATGGTCGAGGCGCTATCCAGCTATTAATACTCTATTTTTGTATCATATCAAATAAACTAATCTAATGTGGAATCATAGTGTATCAGTGAGGCTAAATTCTAATGCTAAATTCACACAAAAAAATTTCGCTTGGTAGTCAAATGTTTACCAACAGCGATTAAACTGTAAATACTATAAACTACAAAACTGAGAATAAAGATCTAAATGTAAAGAGTAAATTATATGAAAATGTAAGCTTTCTCTTCGCGAAAATTATACAAATACTTATAATATGAATGGCTAAAGTTCTATATTTCATGCAGTTCTTATGTGCATTCCCATTATACAAAATGTAACTGCAGATATTAAGACTTGTAAATGTGCTCTTTTAAGTGGTATATGAAATCTGTTCACTGTAATACCCGAAATAACCTACTGATTGTTCATTATCAGGTATTTAGAGTAAAATGTCTGATCTTAGAAAATACTCTTCACGTTGTAGTAAATATATAGGTGTTTTGACTTTCAGTGAGTCAATGAGCCTTTTTTCAATATATATCAGAATAAGATGGTTGGAGGCAATCGGCTGGAAGCCTTGGCTAAACCTAGGTTTCTTGCTACTTTCCACTCACAAGTCGGCAAGGCGTATCTGTAAACTTGAAGAAACTCATGTCCTTTCCGAGATACGAATCCGCGTTACCCAGTGACAGTCAGAGACTTTACCACTGAGCTATTCAGGCTCGCGATTGGCCTCCTGTAAGGCTGTATTGGATACTTTGATTTTTTTTTATTCCTTCACGTTCCCAGTGGAACATAGGGCTTCAAGCTAGTGGCTTGAAGTTTCTGTAGCAGTGTTTATTTTTACAGGATGGGGTTGCTAGCCTCATGCCCAACCTTTCCTCTTTACCAGCTTTATTTCTGGCTTATCGAGGTAAAGGAGTGCGTCGGCCGAGGATCGAACCCCGGACCATGTGCGTGGTCGGCGAGCGTCCTAACCGCTATGCCACCGACGCGGATACTTTGATTGGACACTAGTAATTAGTGTAATGTGTCTAGTCCTCTGTTTGGTGCAGACTGAATTCTCTCAGTCAGGTTTGCAGTGTGGCCGCCATTCTAGGTAGCTCATCATCACGGTGCACATTGATTTGATGACATTAGATGATTGGAGGCAATCGGCAGGAAGCCTCTTTGGGACCTAGGTTTCGTGCTAGTTGCCACTCACCAGTCAGTAAGGCGTATCTGCAACCTTGAAGGAACTCATTTCCCTTCTGAGACTCGAACCCGTGTCACCCAGTACTGCAGTCAGCGACGTTACCACTGAGCTATCCGGACTCGCGATTGACCTGCTGTAGGACTGCATTGGGTATTTTTGATTAAACTAGTAACTAGTAACTAATTAGTCAGTAACTAGTAGGATGCGTCTAGTCCTTTCTTTGGGGCACACTGAATTCTGTCAGTCAGGCTTTGAAATGTGGCCACCATCACGTTTTGCAGATACGCCTTGCTGACGATTGCCAACTAGCACGAAACCTAAGTCCCAAAGAGGCTTCCTGCTGATTGCCTCCAACCATATAATATCATCAAATCAATATGCGCTGTGATGACGAGCTACCTAGAATAGTGGTCACATTGCAAACCTGACTGATAGAATTCAGTCTGCACCAAAGAAAAGACTAAACACATCACAATTGTCACTGGCTTGCGTCCAATCAAAATATACCAGAATTATAATTTGATTGTTATTTTATCGATTTTAGTAATTAAATATAATTACAGCATACAAGTTATCTTTACTAGTAATAGTTAGCTGACATTCGCCGGGGATCGAGCCTCGGATCATAAGTGTGGTTGGCGAGTGTTCTACCGCTGAACCACTGACGCCAGAAAATATCAGACCCCCAGTTAAATAAGTGTTATACAACTTAGTTACTCTAGTAAAAAACGAAAATGGTTATCCTGACAAGTTTATCAAGAAACATATGACGAAGAAGGCCGAAAAGGACCACCCACTATCTGTAACAAGAAGCCCTTATATACTACAATAGATAACAGTAGTAATTACAGAATTAAGAAAGCATCAAGACTTTTTGATTAGGACTGAAAGATGAAGTACTAGACTGGCCACTTCAAATTGTATTTATCAATTCAACTGCGCTTGTGGAGCGAGTTATGTTGGCGTGCTCTAGGAACTTGATTTTTCGTGCTCGAGAACATATCCCACTATGGCTAAGTAAAGGTGTAGTTAAAACTATTAACAGCTCGATATTAGACCATCTGGTGCAAACCGGTCACAAAGCCAGCGTAGACGAATCCTTCTCCATAATATAACGGGTGCCTAACAAACTACCAAAATCGTCGAAGCACTGCTTGCTCCAAACAGCAGAGGCTATTGCAATTCGCCTCAAACAACCAGCGCTCTGTGTCCAAAAGAAACAAGTCCAGCCCCTACTACTGCCTTGGCCCTCAGTAGAGACTATAAATTCATGAATTTGTACTATTACCTTTCCTAATTCTTCTGACATTCAGTTTATTTGATGTTGATGCTGTTCAGCTGTAATTTATCAATATTATTGATTTGATGTTATTTAAACATTAATGTCGTTCATAAGACTAATTCATTCATTCATTATAATGTATATATAATTGTAGAACCTGATGATGAATTTATCGAAAAGAGTTCTCTTTGTTCCGTGTCTATTCTTTTGAAAATTTTAATGGGTATTTTTAATCAATTAAAAAGCGAACATCTAGTCAAATACTGAGTTCTTAGTAAGTGAACGAAAGCCTCTGTTCAAGATGTCTTCAATAAAACAAATTGAAAGGTAAACGGAATTTAACGATTTGACAAATAACTCAGTTGCCAGTTTGAAAATAACGACACTTTAATTTTTTCCTTTATTGTTATTATAAACATTTATACCATAACCCTGAACGGAAATTGTAACGTAATATCTTGTGCACTGACATCCATGGAATAAAAAACTCTTTGTAGATAGTCAGAATAAACTTTAGAATTCTATTCTCACTGTACTTTCTTGATGAACGCCGATAAACCCTACACAATAATCTTCAACAACCATTGTGAAGCATAAACACAGTTATCTGAGGCTTTATTTATTTATGCCAATTAAGTTATATACAAGTAGAAATGGGGTTTCATTTTCTTTATTTTTTCAATTAATGCCAAAATGTTAACTGTATTTTTTTTAACTATAAGAAGTTAATGAAATCCCACCTGATCTAAGTTATATTTGGTAAAGTGGAATGATAAACGGAATTTAGATATGGTTTTTTTGAAAGTAAGTGCATGTGAACAGGAAAGCTATACACTGAAGAGAACTTTCCAAACTAACGGACAAGTTAAAGTGTGAAGCAAGAGTACACAGAAGTCTTAATGCAACAGATATTACACTAAATAGGTGGTGTATGCTGCATTATTTGATTAAAAGTCAATTGAAAAATATTTGCTTCAACGTTTAACATGATGCTTCTTTAAGATATTTAGAGAAATATCAGCAATTTTTCGGAATGCATTGCATATTTCATCTTCGTTCTTAACATGATTAGAAATGTTTTCAAGGTAGTTTTCTTGTCTAGTAGGTAATTATTAGAGAAGTTTATAAGATCAGCAAATGTAAGATAACTCTTTTGTTCTAGTTTTAGGCTTTTCATTAGTGACCAAATTCAGAACTTTAAGGTTAGAAGACAAGCACAATATCGTTCAGCGAATGAACCCACGAATGCTTACTTTTGTCAATCAGTGATATAGCCCGACAGCCATTCGTTGTCATCACACTACAATTGGTAAAAATCACTGATAACGACATCTCCTTAGAATTCTAAGTTCATCCGGTAATGAGTCATTATTTAGATATGAGTGGCGTTTTTTTAA